CCTTCTTCACGCCGTCTGCTGAAATCCCAAGAGTACGCAAATCTCGCTACCACATCCCGCTATATCGACATTAATCATGCTCACCGCTGCCTAGGTCATCTCGGTCAAGACAACATAAAATGTCTGATTGCAAAAGGCATGGTAACGGGCATTGATGAAGTGGGAGGTCGAATAGAGTTCTGCAAGTCGTGTACAGCCGGTAAACAGCATGTATTTCTGTTCCCATCATCCAATAAAAGGGCCCATCGGAAACTAGATTTAGTTCACTCCGATGTTTGTGGTCCATTACCCAACTCTATCAATGGTGGCTATAGGTATTTCATCACCTTCATAGATGATAACACCCACCACTGCTGGGTTTATTTCCTCCATCACAAATTGGAGGCGTACCGATGCTTCCGCGAATGGAAGGCTATGGTAGAGCTCGAGACTGGGCTTAAGCTCAAGGTTTTTCGTACAGATAACGGTGGAGAAGTTTGAGCATTATCTCTGTAACCTTGGTATTATCCATGAGACCACAGTCCCTCACACCCCACAGCAAAATGGCATTGCTGAACGCTTCAACCGCACTATTGTTGAGCGTGCCAGATGCATGATGCATGATGCTAAATTTACTGCTGGGTTTTGGGTCTTCGCCGTCATTATTGCCGTCTATCTCATTAACCGCTCACCTACCTCACGGCTTCCTAATTCTACTCCACACAAAGCTTGGTCTGGCATAAAGCCTTCACTCAAGGAACTCAAACCTTTTGGCTGTCCCGCCTATGCTCACATCCCCAAATCGAAGCGTACAAAGCTTGACTTTAAAACTCGTAAGTGCATCTTTCTTGGTTACAAAGAGCACACCAAGGGTTACCTTCTGTGGGATCCAAAGAAGCGAAAAACTTTTGTTTCACGAGACATCATTTTTGATGAACGTCCTCACCCTCCTGGCCTGCCTTTACCCATTCCGGATCTTTCGCAGATCCTTTACAATGGTGAGGTGCCTGGAGATGGCCTACCTGGCTTTTCTCGAGTGGGAGATGCGTGGGAAGATAACTCTCCCCCTGTGACTCCAGCGGTTCCGCATCCTCCTGCTCCATCTTCTGAGGTTGATTCTGAGGATAACGTTGGTGACTCTCGCCCATACTCCCCTGATCTTCCTCCTCCCAATGACCCTCCACCGGCTCCACCTGCTCGCCGTCGTCGTACAGAACTTGAACTTCTTGGGCCTGTTCCAGAAGTAGATGGTCCACGTGCTCGTCGCCTACCTGCCCACTTCCGTGAAGAACCTGCACCAGGCGATAGACCAGATGTTGCAGAAGGTGTTGCCATGGCCTTCGTGGCCACTGTCCATGCTCAGGGAGCCTCAGAGCCCCGCACTCTGCAGGAGGCACTCCGCGGTCCTGACTCCGCCTCTTGGCTGGAAGCTGTAGACAAAGAGCTCAAGTCTCTCATTGATATGGGAACTTTCGAGTTTATTGACAATTTGCCTAAAGGTCGCCGTGCTATTAGCTCCAAGCTTGTCTTTAAGATTAAGCGCCTCCCTGACGGGACCATTGAGCGGTACAAGGCACGCTTAGTTGCTCGAGGTTTCTCCCAGATGAAACAGCATGTATTTCCGTTCCCATCATCCAATAAAAGGGCCCGTCAGAAACTAGATTTAGTTCACTCCGATGTTTGCGGTCCATTACCCAACTCTATCAATGGTGGCTATAGGTATTTCATCACCTTCATAGATGATAACACCCACCACTGCTGGGTTTATTTCCTCCATCACAAATTGGAGGCGTACCGATGCTTCCGCGAATGGAAGGCTATGGTAGAGCTCGAGACTGGGCTTAAGCTCAAGGTTTTTCGTACAGATAACGGTGGAGAATATACCTCTGATCAGTTTGAGCATTATCTCCGTAACCTTGGTATTATCCATGAGACCACAGTCCCTCACACCCCACAGCAAAATGGCATTGCTGAACGCTTCAACCGCACTATCGTTGAGCATGCCAGATGCATGATGCATGATGCTAAATTTACTGCTGGGTTTTGGGTCTTCGCCATCATTATTGCCATCTATCTCATTAACCGCTCACCTACCTCACGGCTTCCTAATTCTACTCCACACAAAGCTTGGTCTGGCGTAAAGCCTTCACTCAAGGAACTCAAACCTTTTGGCTGTCCCGCCTATGCTCACATCCCCAAATCGAAGCGTACAAAGCTTGACTTTAAAACTCGTAAGTGCATCTTTCTTGGTTACAAAGAGCACACCAAGGGTTACCTTCTGTGGGATCCAAAGAAGCGAAAAACTTTTGTTTCACGAGACATCATTTTTGATGAACGTCCTCACCCTCCTGGCCTGCCTTTACCCATTCCGGATCTTTCGCAGATCCTTTACAATGGTGAGGTGCCTGGAGATGGCCTACCTGGCTTTTCTCAAGTGGGAGATGCGTGGGAAGATAACTCTCCCCTGTGACTCCAGTGGTTCCGCATCCTCTTGCTCCATCTTCTGAGGTTGATTCTGAGGATAACGTCGGTGACTCTCGCCCATACTCCCCTGATCTTCCTCCTCCCAATGACCCTCCACCGGCTCCACCTGCTTGCCGTCGTCGTACAGAACTTGAACTTCTTGGGCCTGTTCCAGAAGTAGATGGTCCACGTGCTCGTCGCCTACCTGCCCGCTTCCATGAAGAACCTGACATTGTGCCAGATCCTCCAGAACCTGCACCAGGCGATAGACCAGATCTTGCAGAAGGTGTTGCCATGGCCTTTGTGGCCACTGTCCATGCTCAGGGAGCCTCAGAGCCCCGCACTCTGCAGGAAGCACTCCGCGGTCCTGACTCCGCCTCTTGGCTGAAAGCTGTAGACAAAGAGCTCAAGTCTCTCATTGATATGGGAACTTTCGAGTTTATTGACAATTTGCCTAAAGGTCGCCGTGCTATTAGCTCCAAGCTTGTCTTTAAGATTAAGCGCCTCCCTGACGGGACCATTGAGCGGTACAAGGCACGCTTAGTTGCTCGAGGTTTCTCCCAGATGCCTGGTTTAGACTTTGATGAGGTATTTTCCCCTGTGGTCAAACTTACCTCCATTCGTGTCCTTTGCGCCCTCGCCGTGCGTCTAGGCCTTCACTTCCACCACCTCGATGTTGATACCACATTTCTCAATGGTGAGTTGGAAGAGGAGCTCTATATGCGCCTCCCGAACGGCATTAGTGAACATTCTGGTAAAATTGTTCGTCTCCGCCGCTCTATCTATGGCCTCAAGCAGGCCTCCCGTGTCTGGAACAAACTTCTTGATGCAGAGCTCGAGAAACTTGGCTTCCGTCGTATCCATGCTGACTACTGCATTTACATCCTCCAACGTGGCAAGTCCATCTGCTTTATTGCTGTTTACGTTGATGATATTGGGATTTTATGCGATGATCTCAAATTCATGCAGGAGATCAAGCACCGGATTGGCCAACGCTTTAAGATCAAGGATCTTGGTGTTATTTCACAGTTGCTTGGCATTGCCATTGACTATGACCAACAAAAGCATGTCCTTCGGCTCTCTCAGACCAGATACATTGAGGAATCACTCAAACATTTCCACTGTGATGATGGCATCACACGTCGCACCCCCTTATCATCTGGAGTTAAGCTTTCTAAAGCTGATTCCCCATCCACAGACGCCGAGAAAGAGGCTATGGCTGACAGACTCACGCTATACCAGGCTCTCATTGGTACTCTCATGTATGCCATGCTTGCTTCACGCCCAGATATTGCCTTTGCTGTAGGTATTTTGAGCCGCTACTGCTCAAATCCAGGTGAGATTCATTTAAATGAAGCTCTGCATTGTCTTCGCTACTTGGGTGGTACCAAAGACTGGGTTATTGAGTATGATGGCACGATCATAGATGAACTCATCTCCCTTATCCTTGGATATTCTGATTCGGATTGGGCTGGTGATGTGGATACTCGACGATCCACTAGTGGATATGTTTTCCTCATGTGCGGAGCTGCTATTAGTTGGAGCAGCAAACTTCAAACCTCCCCAGCACTCTCTTCTACTGAAGCTGAGTACATGGCTCTTACTCATACAGCACAGGAAGCTATTTGGCTCCGTCAACTCCTTGAACAGCTAGGTTTTCAGCAAACCAAGCCTACTCGCTTGTTGGGTGATAATATGTCATCTATTGCTCTTTCCAAGAACCCTGCTGATCATCCCCGTACGAAGCACATTCAACTTTGTCGCCACTTTATTCGTTTTGCAATCTCTGATGGCCAGATTGATCTGGACTATGTTCCAACTGCCCAACAAGCTGCTGATGGATTTACAAAGGGATTATCTGGTGAGAAGCACTTGGAATTTGTGCGCATGCTAGGTATGAAGCCACGCCCAAGTGGGAGTGTTAAAAGTTGATGATCTTATCTTGTTATGTCATCTATACGTTCGTGGATTCATGCCGTAACGAAACCAGAAAATTTTCTGCTTTCATTACGTTACTTACATACGTCCCATGTGACACATTCTTTTAATTGTATTTTACATATATTGACACCTCAGCGTCGTTCAGTGGTAGAACGACGCTGAGGTTAGTACTCACATTCTTTATTTCTTGTACTTATTACTGACTATGTACCTAGAACTCTCTTTTATTTCAATAGGTACATAATATAGCGTCGTTCTACCACTGTCGCTGAGAACTCTCTTTTATTTCAATAGTTTCAATACCTCGTCATTATAAGCATAACACATCAGTACTCCGCGATGAGGCATACTAGTGACGCGCTCTACCAGCTGAGCTAAGAAGGAGTTATAAGTTACAACAGCTAGTAATCTGTATTGTGTTCAACATTACTGTCACGAACTCTAGGCTAAGGATAGTTGAGATACCCTGGCAATTGCATAGACTTCTATCAGAATCTATATAAACTGTTGACATAGCACGGTACTAGTACTATACATCTGCAAGCAAAAAGGGATTCAACAATCCCAAGTCACTTACCCAAAAAAGGCCGAATAAAAACACTTTGCTAAACAGATACTTCCTTCTAGTCGATTTGAATGACTAACCTTGTCATCATAGATTCATAAAACAGGATTCTAATTCGCAGAAACACCATAGTGACACGCTCTACCAATTGAGCTAAGAAGGACTGACACCATTTACCAGCTGGATAGCATATTAAACTTCAATACTCCAAAAGCTAGAGCTACTAATAGTCCTAAAAGCCCCCAGAGCTGAGGCTCAGTCAGGATTTTTTGGCATGAAATTAAAATAGCTGAGCAAGCGGTATGCACTGTGGCCAACCCTTCAAGTCAGAGGCCTAGCTGCAGAGCTTGGGTTGAGCCAAAAAACCTGGGTCAGATGCCATTGCTGAATTGACCTGGAATTGGCCCTAAGCGAATACTTATATGCTGTTCTACACATAACTTTGCAATAATCCAATTGAGTTTGCACTCATATTGAAGAATCGAGTTCGACGTCGGATGGGGACCTGCCTGAGGTTCAGTCAGTCCCTACACGTCTCTGGAGGTAACTCCAAGATGCTGGAGTAATAGTGGTGGTCAGAAAGAAAGAGATCTCTATTTGTAGATCTCAGTAGTATGAGTACGTACTTAGTTTATATACTGTGAAGATACTTAGATAATATGACGAGTTTTGTGCGTAGACGCGCATGAAGCTCGACAAAGTTACCAGGACCCAGGAATGCAATGCCGTAGTTAATTCAAGTAAACACTTTCGGGACAAAAAGAATCTGATTCGATGGAATTCCTTCTAGCCGACTTGAACGACTGACCTCGTCATTATACGCAAACAAGCATACATACTAGTGACGCGCTCTACCAACTGAGCTAAGAAGGAGTCATTATCTGCATGGCACTCAACCAAGCATGAGTCGACTGTGACTTACCAAGACTCTCAAACCCAACTCAAACCTAGAGCCAACGTTCATAGTAGAATCTAGGATAGTTGAAATAGCCTGGCAATTGCATAGACTTCTATACGGACCGTTGACATGATATCATCTTGACATCTGCAAGCAAATTAGCAAAAAGGGATTCAACTTGAATCTCAAGTCACTGACTCACTACCCAACAAATAAAA